TGGCTGCTATGTTTTTTCACTTTTCAAATATATATATATTTTAATAGTTTATCTCTCTCCTCCTTGTTGTCAAGCTGTCAGTCAACTGTCATTTTTTACTGCTGTCAGTAAGCCTGCCTTTATCACACCCCCAATTTGATGCTGCTAATCTGCTGTCAGTTGGAAAATCATATAATCAAGACCTCTAATCTAAAAACTGCATTTACAATAACATAGTGGGCTGAACACGGGGTGAAGACTTGGAGTTCCACTTCTGTTTATATCTAGCTGTATGATTGCTGGGAGATACTTAACTTCTCTGGGCTTTGGTGCCTTCATCCCCCTAGTGAGGAGCAGAGGGAGTGTGTGTATGTGTGTGTGTGAGAAAGACAGACACAGAGAGAGACAGAAAAAGTGCTATCATTCAAATTTAAATTCTAAAGTTTTTTGGCTGCCACAAAGAACATATCAAACTTTTCTGTGAGTTAACATAATGTAGGGTTGGCACCATTGACCAAAATTGTCATATTCAAGGACACTTTTTAGTCACCATCTTACCCTTACTCCTCTGAATTTACTACTGATCTTCTCCTTAAAACCCTTCTTCCTTTGTTCCATAGGACTATTCTATCACTGTTGACCCCCTGGTTCTTTTATCATTTTTTCTAATTTAGTGTTGGGTTCTTCCTCCACCACACCCTTAAGTGTTAGAATGTCAAAGTCTTCTCCCAAGGTGGAAAGGTCAGGCAGGGTGAAAAGGAGGAACCAGCACAGGAGTCTCAGAAGCAGCAGCCTGTGTGAAAATCAGGGAACTGAGCGTCCTAGAAACCAACTGAAGAATGTATCATCGCGTGCAAATTCTGTGATGTTAAGGAAAACGAATACTGAAAATGGACTACAGAGTTTAAAGGCGTGGAAGTCATCAAAGACTTTACCTAAAGCAGCTTCTGTAGAGTAGCTTCAAGACAGAATGGTAGGGATCAAACTAGAACCAGTAAATACAAACAAAATCCTTTAAGGATTTTGCTACAAAAGCTAGGAGAGAAATGAGGCAGAAGTAGAAGGGAGAAGTGTAATCAAGAGAAAATGTTTTTCAGAGAAGTAAGAAATAACATTTTTTGTATGTTAATAGAAATGATAGGAGCTCTGGTAGCATAGTGCCTAAAGCACTTGACTGCCAACCAGAAGGCTGACGGTTCAAACCCACCAGCCACTCCTTGGAAGGAAGATGGGGCAATCTACTTCCATAGTGATACTGCCTCAGCAACCCAAGGAGGGGTCGCTATGAGTCGGGTCTGACTCGATGGCACATAACAACAACAACAATAGAAATGATCCAGAAAAAGGAAAATAAGAATAATGCAGAAGAGAAGAAAATGGATGATGCAGAACAGAAAAGAAAAAGTGCTAGAAAAACAGTCCTTGATTACGCAAGAAGGATGGGTACTAATAAAGAAGTGAAGAAAGTGGCCTCAGATAGAAGCATGGTCAGTTCATTCATAGTAACAGGTGTGAAGATGCAGACACTGTAACTGAGCAGAGGTGGCAGTGGCAGCTTATTAATGTTCTCTTTTGATTTTTCCTATTTTCTTAGTCAACAGCTGAGAATAAAAATAGAAGCTTTCTTGTTGGAGACTGCAAGAGACAGGAGAAGGCATGATTCGTTTTCTAGAAGAGGGGAAATGTGGTATGCTTGCCAGGCCACCAGAACTCAGAAGTTATTTAGAATGGGACTAAAAAGTATGGCTGTATGTTTTTCTCTAGTCACATTCAGTTGTGTGAGTGTAGGAATTCAATAGGTTAGAGACATGGAGTAAACCAGGCATGGGGTTTTGCCGAGTACAAAGTAAGAAGTGCAAAAGATTTGAGAATATATGCAAAAGACTAAGTATAATGAGGAAATATGGAATTTAAATATGATAAAGAAGGAGGACAGTTAGGACAAGAGAGAGCAAAAGGAAAAATCTGGCTCAATCAATGTATAGCAGGTTCTGAAGTGGTCAAAGGATGGCATGAGCCAGGGTGTAAAGAGAATAAATAAACCAACGTCTTTATTTATATTGGGCTACCCTTTTGGCAGAGTGGTTCTTTATTTTCATGAGAAGAGATGAGGGGCAGGGATTGTCCTTGATATTCAGCCAGCAATAACTACACCAGGTTATGGGAACTGGGAGTTAATAAGATGAACTAATCTGTATAGGGACCTCTGGTGATGCAGTTCCTAAGGCATTTGACTGCTGAGCAGAAGGTTGGTGCTTCAAACTCCACCAGCTGCTCTACAGAAGGATGATGGGGCAATCTACTTCCATAAATATTTACCAGCTTAGAAACTCAATGGGGGTCACTGTGAGTATTGAAAGTATATTATATATATGCCAGGTACTGTGCTAGCATTTGAAATATATTATTTAATCTAGTCACTGTATCATCCCTATACAATATTCCCTATATGGTAATAAAGTAAATATAAAAATACCATCAAAGAACCTACACTAGAGTTTACACTTACGTAGGTCACAGAACTAGTAAGTGGTGGTCAAGACTCAAATACATGTATGTACATGTGCCTCCAGTGCTTAAGAGCTTTCTATGATATATATCTCACCATGACATCCCAAAATGTTTAACATATGTCGTCAAGAATATCTCTTTTGCCACTATTTTTCTGGTCTATGGGAGTGAGGCAGGGGAAGGGCAAGGAAGGCAATAGGGAGTAGGAGGTGCCACAAATCCAATACAACTGAATGCCTATGTGACAGACATGCTCTGATTTTAACAGCTAACAACTCTATAAATCATCACGTATTCATTGAAATATGGAAGTTTCCCTCCTTTTTGGACTAATATCCCTGATATCATACTGTATTTTATTATGTGTTAAGAATTTAAACATATATTGTGATTTATTTTTTCTCAATTTCATTTTTGCCATGACCAAATAACATTTGTATATAAAGAAAGACAGATATAGTCAAAAGTATGTTTTTTAAAAGCACCTTAGTCATTTTGCCTTTATAATTACTAAATATTTTTCAACATCTCGACAAAATAATACTTTTTCAAGGCTGCAGGCATTAGAATGATTGTCATTCATGCAAATAATCACTTACTTACACTGTATGAGTACGGGTTGGATAAAGCAAATTACCATTTGAAAATAATTCAAATAACACTCTGGGCTAAGACTTTGCTTATGAATGTTATCTTGGCTACAGTATTTCTTAACCGTCTTCCATTTCGCTAGATTCCTTTATGGTAATATAGTCCAAATTAATAAACTATCCAATTGCCACAGGTGTATTAAATATACAAGGATGTAGAAATATATCAGATGCATATAAATTTAAAAATATATAATTCATTTGAAAGTCTATAGTAGTAATAATTAAGATGTGCTATAACCATCTATTCACTTAAAATGCACATTTTTGCCCATGTATTACATGAGAAAAACGTCAAAAAATAAGGTTCATTAAAAAAAAACATTCAGACATATTGTTTTTTAGCTAATAACAGAGCTAAAGTTTATCACTTATTGTTTTTAAGTTGAAATTCTCTCATCACACATAAGAAAATTAGATACATACACATATAGTTCTATTTAGCTTTATGATTTTCTAAATTCCAAATAAATCATTAAATGCTTTTGACAAATGACCTTTAATGACAGAAAGGTTAAGCAGCAAACAGAAGAGGGAATCAGAAGTCAGATGACATAAACTTTAATCTAATCTGTGACAACGATAAGCAGTACGAGTGCAAGCCAATCTTTTTATTTGCATGGATCTCTGTCTTCTGAACTCCCTAAGTAAAAATTGGGCAAGGTAGTGTAACTTAAACTGCCTGACCCACTAACTTGATTTGGTATAATGCAGATTTTTCTCCAGTGAAATATTAATCAGTAAGACAATCAAACAAATTAGCATCAGGGGTATGGATGCGGGCTACTGTCCCTACAGCAAAGTAAGGATGAATTCCGTAAGTACAGAGCATAGAGACTAATGCTAACCTCCTGAATGGCACATATGGACATTAAATTGTTTCCGGCCTTCATTGCAGGGGTGGAGAAAAACAGATGTCTCTGAACTCTTTTTGAAGATGTAGTCAGCTACAAGACACCAGCATCCCCAGGTAGTAAGAGTCCCACTGAAGCAAATTTTCTATACACCAGGAAATAGTGTTCCTTGTGGTAGTTAAAAGAAGATTTGCTAGGTTAATCAAAAGTGAAAAGTAATTGCAGAATGTTCCCTTTGAGCCACATCATTCATTGATAATTCAGGGTGGGTCTAGCAACAAGGTTAATAAAAAATGTCTTCTTAGTAACTGAGAAACACAAATAGCAATTCTTGAGTGCATCTGAAACTTATTACAGAAGACTTATTAACTCTTTATTAAGAAGGTCTGGAGGTACAGTGCCTAAGGCATTTGACTAACCAGAAGGTTGGTGGTTCAAATCCACCAGCCACTGCATAGAAGGAAGATGGGGCAATCTACTTCTGTAAAGATTTACTGCCTTGGAAACCCAATGGGTGTTGCTATGAGTCATAATCAACTCAATGGCAGTGGTTTTAATTGAGACATTAGAAATCATAAAAATCAGAGGAAGGTAAAAAATAGAAGAAAATAGCATAAGAAATGAAAGTAATCCAAGCAGTATGATTTAACTGCAAGAGTTATTAGTCTACATATAAACCAATGGGCACACAGTAAATGCAATGATTGAGGAAATGCTTGACGATGATCTCTATAATATAAAAAAACACAGTAAGAAGTGCTAATAGTCAAAGGACCTTGCTTTGGCAAACAAAAAAGAAAGAAAGAAAGAACTCAGTATCAATTCACTAATAGGTTGGACATCTGATTATTTAAAATCTTTGTAAATCACAAAATGGTAAACGGTGCTGGATAACCTAATCCAGCTAATACTGAAAAGTTATGAACTGGCAAGAAGAACACCAATTTCTATAAATCCAAATAGTAACTTATGACACAATATTGAGAATAGAATCCAACACACTGACCTGCTAACATCAGGAAATCTGATTGGAAAGTAAATAACTTGGCATTTGGGTCTGATGATGCTTTCCAGATCTTTGGGTCTGTGATCAGGAACCAGCTTCATAAATTTTCCAATGGAAGTGAGAAATGACTCCATATTAAAAACCGAGTTGAATACCACCACATCTGCCACCAGGCTGTAAACGGAAAAGAGAAATCCAAGTAAATGGCTACACTACATTCAGAGTTACTTTTACAACCTTACGATCTCTGTGTATTAATAAGAGTTCTGTAGCATAGTGCCTAAGGCACTTGACTGCTAACCAGAAGGCTGGTGGTTCAAACCCACCAGCTACTCCTCGGAAGGAAGATGGGGCAATCTACTTCCGTAGTGATACTGCCTTGGAAACCCAAGGAGGGGTCACTATGAGTCGGGTCCGACTCAATGATACATGACAACAACAACATCATACTACAACTCAGTTTTGCAAAGAACAGCATTTGCCATCGTTAGTTATCAAAATGCTTCTAATAGTTTTATTACTATTATATCAACAAAAGGTAGATAGGCAGTAGAAGGAAGGGAAAAAAGCAGAGGAATTAATGATTTAACAGAATCACGTAAGATTTCAAGCCAAAGCATACTTTCCATGATGCCAAATGCTTTCTTTATTAAAAGAACAGTAAGTACAGCAGCATCTGTTTTCTTTTTTTTTCCACCTACTCATGGTGGGCTTCTAAATCAGTGATCAACATCCTTTTGCACCATGCTAGGCACTTGACTGCTAACCAGAAGGCAAGGTTCTGGGAAGTTTGGGCAATCTACTTCCATAGTGATACTGCCTCAGAAACCCAAGGAGGGGCCCCTATGAGTCGGGTCGGACTCGACGACACATAACAACAACAACAACAACCACCGAGAAATTTGCCTTACTTCTTACTGTTGCACAGTGCCTAAGGCACTTGACCACTAACCAGAAGTCTAGTGGTTCAAACCCACCAGCCACTCCTCAGAAGGAAGGTACTTCTCATTACCTTAAAGATTATTCAGATAACCTTATTTCCATCCTAGAGTATGACACCTTCAACACTATTTGGTTAAAATCCTTTTCTTACTCTAACTCTTGTTTCAACAAATTATCTCACCTTTTTAAAAACACTGGGACAAAATGGGAAAGACTGTATGGTAGCTTTCCAAGTAACTTACTTCAGCATTATATTTGGGGTAGTCAATGAAGGAAAATAAATCAGTGGAAATGGATCTAGAAATCAAAATCACTAGGTCCCTACCCCCACCTCCCAAAAAAACATAGGTCCTACTGATTACACAAAGGAATGTATCTATAAAAGAGTATAAAATTATGTAGGAAAAAATGTGATAGTGACTATTACTTTTGACTAATAGACTATTATTTTTCAATATTTTTAATTATCATAAATAATTTCAAATACATTGTTATAAGCAAGTGTGAAAACAAAGTTTATGTATCATAATCATGTCAGCAGTTTTTAGAACTGCCTATAAGTTGTTGTTTCTGGAAATTAAAGAACTCATACAATAACCATGGATAACTGCATAAAGCCTGAACATCTCTTTATGAATCAAAAACCTGATTTAATAAATCAAGGCTTTGATTTTTTTAAGATGGCCCTCTTGCTTTAAGCTATGATTCAGTGACACTGGATCTCAATGAAATGCACATAAATGCTTTGACAGAAGGTCTGCAAGATTAAATAGATAAAGCCATTACTTTTATTTCACACTGAAAATGACAGATCAAGAAAAGATATTTGAAAAGAGGATATGTAAATCCACAGGACTGAGAAACACAAAGAACTCCCCCCAAAACTGCTTTCCCATTCATTTTTTACCCCTAGATGAAACCTAGAACAAATTTGGGGTGGGGTGGGGATGATTACAATGTGAGTAATACAAAAGAATGTAGAGTGCCATGAAAGTGCTGAGTTAACACCAAGCAATAAGGAAACCAATATAATAATATACCAAAAGTTGAAGGATGTTTTACAGCTAGTCTGTTTTCACCATATGTCACATATTGTAATAGCGACCCAGAGGTCATAATATTTAGTTACAACATGTGTTCATAAGTCAGAAGGTCAGTGAAACCTCTATTTAAGGTGAGTGCTTATGTCAGTCATCTTTAAAGTCCTTAACTGCTACACGGTCAAGAAAAAAATCTAACAGTGCCACAAAAGCAGAAGTCAGCAAGAAAACTAAAGAAACATTTGAGGAAGCAAGACTGCTTCTGACACTTTTATTTTTCCTCTGGATGAGTGTGAACCATTTTTTTCCCATTATGAAGCCAATAGATGATCAAATTCACTTTGTTCACTCCAAGATTGTCTATCAGTTTACCCTCTCAAGAATGGCAATGCTAAAAAACTGTGCATAAGCTTTAAAGTCACATTCCCTATGAACAAAAATAATCTTTTATGAAAGAGGCAGATGAGGGACAGTAAGTTAAGAATTTTTAGCTATCTGCCCTTATAAGGCATGCAACCTAACTTTTTATATTCTTATAAAATCCAGTCTATGCTAAATTAAAGATCTAAGATAGTTCACAGAAGTATTCTGTTTGGTGCATTTCCTCCCTGATATGAGTGGGTGTCATTTCCATTAACTTTAAAACCCACCCATAAAGGGAAACAAATAGACTTAATTTTTTCCCCAGTGATTTCATAGGAGTAATAAGCAAGCATTATCTGAGAAGAAGAACAAAGCTAATTCAAGACATGTAAAATGATCACAAATGTTTTCCATATTAATAAAGCACAAACTTATTTTATTTTTGCTTTTTAAACATATTTCCATTCCCTATTTCAGTATAAAATAAAGTATTTTAATTTTATTGTGAAATTTTAAAACAGTTGTTTTTTTTTATGACACATTTGAAGTAAAGCAGTTCCACTCTTTTGACAGCACTGCTACTTCACAATTGAAGCAGCTTGTAAAAATGATTGCAGGAAACCATTTACAAAATGCTCAAAACACAGAAATATTACCATATAGCTATTTTTCTATGTCACCTAAACTATGGAACGCACTTGCCAAGGTGTGGATCTGTTTAAATACATCATCAGTCCCAGTTGCTAATAACTGTTAGTAATGGTGAGCAAACGTACCATATCACTGCCAAACTGAAAGCAGTCCTGTTCGGTCAAATATTGTTGCAGTCATGTTGAATAGGATCCAATAGCAAAGCTGTTTCATAGAGTTGCTATTAACCACGTTCATTAACTAAGCTTTAGGAAATACACTTTGCTGAAGTAACAATGAAGATGGACAGTCACCTCTGAAATGTCATGATATTTTAAGGCTGTGCAATTTCAGAAGACTCAATGGGGAAAACAACATAGGAGATTCATTTTCCAGTTTTCTGTGGCTAATAACAATAACAAAAAATTTTAAAAATGGAAAAAAATCCTTTTGCTTGTTATGCTTTATTTATTTTCTATTCATTTATAAATTTATATTTTGATTTTAGCTGAATACAGTGACTATGGTACGTAAATCAGGGTTGACTAACTGCCCTTTTCTAAAAGTTTGCCTCAAACAACAGATCATGAAGTCAAGGGCTGAAAGATCCTGACACTCTTATGATTGTATTCTGAATAATGTGAAAAACACAGAGTTGGATAATTATTTCAACATATAATTAGACTGTTACATATAAGTATTTTTTAAAAAAGGATCTGCTGTGATCTTACATATATTTAAGCAGCACAAGTAATTACTATCATGGAAATTTGTTTCCATATCCGCACCTACCTTAAAGTGTTTTTTTGAATAGGCACATGGTAGGTCTCCAAACTTAAAAGTTAACCATCTATAAAGAAAACAGTGGCAATGGACCAAATATAATGATGCAATCTATACCTACCACGAAAGAATTTGGTTATATCCATATTGGAAATCCCTCTCCTGACATTTCTTGACAGGATATACCAATTGGTTCTCATGGAAGTACAGAATCTTTTTCAATTTCCCAAGGTCAGGCCGAAGGGCAGCCAGTTCGGTCAGGTTAAGCACTGAGCTTGCGAAGAGGATCCTAGGAAACAAGGAAATCCGGTTTTACTGTTCTGAGCATGCTAGAAGGGGTCATCCTTTGCCCTTCTTTCCTCTTCCCTCATCCCACCCCAAGAAAAACATATCCCCTACAGGGACACATCAATAGTTAAGCCTTAATACCATGTAGTAGCATTCTAAGTTTTGATCTCTTAAAAAGCAGCTGCTAAGAACTATAAAAGCCCCGAATCTCATTGGTCTCCTCAGCTCAGTTACTGAGAGATGCAAAAAAAAAACTGGATGGATTTTATTGAAAAAGGCAAGAAAAGATCTATCTGAAGGACAAATGGAACAAAGATAAGGCTGACTGGGGAATACTTTGCTTGCCAGTTTCATTACACTTTACTTCTTTATGCAACCAACTACTGAAATTCAATATATGAGCAGGAATGGCACATGTTCATGTTATGACATAAACCGTTTTGATTTATGCAAGACTTATCTAGTGTGGTCTTTTTCTCTTGGCATGCTTTCTCCTCCCCCCACCCCCACCCCCCACTTTAAAAATAAAAAAAAGAATCCTGCAACACTTGTTTTATCTTTTCTTCATTCATGGATTGCTAATGGTCCCAAATGTACAACCAGTAAAATCCCTTATAAAAAACACTCGTCTAATTAACTATGAAAGGCTAATTCTCTTTTTAGGGGAATAAAGGGAAACTGAAAGCTTACCTATGTTTATAAATGAGAGCTAAGACTCTGTTTACTCACTCACTCCATAAACATTTGCTAAATGCCTACTATGTGTCTGGTTCTGACCAAGAAGAACTGAAAAGACAAACAAGACAGCCCATCAGGATGAATGCTGCTTGTAACAGTGACAGGTACAAGAAGGAGCAATAACTGACTGGGACAACCTGGAAATGTTTCACTAGTGAGATATCTACCATATACAGACACAAAAGAGGTACAAATTACTGTCCCTGAGCAGCTGAGGACATTTAGATGGCATCATTTTGATGGAAGGTCACCTTTATAACATAATGTAGCATCATTTGACCCTTATGGCTTTAATTCCAACTCTAAAAAATGAGGTTCAAAAAGGTTGAGTATTTTTTTCTTCTAAGATCACACTGGTAGAAAGTGGGAAAGCAGGGACTTCCTGGTCTTCTAAGCCAGGAGAGTTTATCATTACACCATGGATATGAATAGGTTATGGACCACTTACATTGCAAATGCTTTCTTCGGACTTAATACATACAAAATATCAACCTTGTTATTACCATGATTACAACTACTATAAATTCTCCCTTGCTGACAAGCCAAATGGTTAACTTCAGGTGTTTATATGATCTGCAGCACTAGCCTTTCACATGAGAAGAATGATTACATAATAAGTGTATATATAATAAATAGGAATTCAAGTGTCTTCTTCATGGGCTAGAAGAAATACACAAGACCAAAACCCAGTGATCCTTCTTTAAACCCATATAGCTGTACTACTGTTACATACCTCTTTACAATAAAAATATCTTACAAAAAAAAAATACATTTACTTTTTTAATTGCTCATTTTGCACTCAACTAACACAAAGAGGAAAAAAAAAAAATCTATGGCCAGATAATGTGCTACTTTGTCCAAATTTATCTCCAGCCCCCACCACCACCACCATCACCAAGTATAAGCCTTTCTAAAATTGAGATGCACAATGCTGAAATATGAAGATATGCATACCTACAAATATGAGATTTAGCAGAAAGAACAGTAAAATGTTACTCTCAATCAATATTTTCCTTAAAAGAGAATGAATGTTAACTTGTGCTTCTAGTTATTGAACAATACTCCCTCTCTGTGGTGTATCCCTCCTCCCCACACACAAATGCAAGCTAAGATTCACATTCTTAGTTGTTAAGACCTGAGCAAGTTCAATGTTTTTAACATGGCAAAATTTATTACATATAGCCCCCATATTAGATATGAATTACCAAAAAAAAAATGGCACCTTTATAACTAATCTTAAAGTAGAACTTAAAGTAGATACCACCTTAGCCAAGGTGAATACAAGTAATACTAGGACAGAGTGATATCAGGTATTTCTTAGTGAGATGCACTGAGAACAATACAAATTACCAATAAAAGGGTAGGTGAATGGGAATATACCCATGACCATATATAGGTTTGGCAGATGATATTTCTACATACGTAATTTTATGTGCTATAAAAATGCCCATATATGAACCTAAGTGCCCATTAACACATAAACAGATAACCAAACTATGGTACCTGCACACAATGGAATATTATGCACCATTAAAGAATAAAGAACAATCTGCAAAATACTTCATAATGTGTATGAACTTGGAAAACATTCTTGTTGTTGTTGTTAGGTGTGATCGAATCGGCTCTGACCCATAGAGACCCCATTTACAACAGCCTCACAATCCTTGCTATACCTGAGCCCATCATTGCAGCCACTGTGCCAATCCATCTCATTGAGGGTCTTCCCCTTTTTCATTGACCCTCCACTTTACCAAGCATGATATACTTTTCCAGGGAATCACCCCTTCTGACAACATGAACAAAGTAGATAAGACAAAGTCTGGCCATATTTGCTTCCAAGGAGAGTTTCAGCTGCAGATTAAAATCTTCTAGGGCATATTTGTTAGTTCTTCTTGCAGTCCATGGTACCTTCAGTATTCTTCACCAACACCACAACTCAGAAGTATCAACTCTGCAAAGCTGTGTTGTCTGCTGTCACATGCTGTTAATGAGTCTTCCTCCAATCCCGATGCCATGTTCTTCTTCATATAGTCCAGCTTCTTGGATTATTTGCTCAGCATACAGAGTGAATAAGTATGATGAAAGGATATAGCCCTGACACACTCCATTCCTGATTTTAAACCATGAAGTATCCCCTTGTTCTGTTCTAATGACAGCCTCCTGGTTGATGTACAGGTTCCTCATGAGTACAATTAACTGCTCTAGAATTCCCATTCTTCTCAATGTTATCCACAATTTGTTATGATCCATCAAATCTGGTGGCATAGTGCCTAAGGCACTTGACTGCTAACCAAAAGGCTGGCAGTTCAAACCCAGTAGCCACTCCTCGGAAGGAAGGTTGGAAAATCTACTTCCGTGGTGATACTGCCTCGGAAACCCAAGGAGGGGTCGCTATGAGTTGGGTCCGACTTGATGGCACATAACAACAACAACCACCACCAAATCTAATGCTTTTGCATAGTCAATAAAACAAGAGTAAACATCTTTCTGGTATTCTTTGCTTTCAGCCAAGATTCATCTGACATCAACAATGATATCCCTTGTTCCACATTCTCTTCTGAATTCAGCTCGCATTTCTGGAAGTTCTTTATCAATATACTGCTGCAATCATTTTTTAATTATTTTCAGTAAGATCTTACTTGCACGTGATATTAATGATCTTGTTCCATAATTTCCACATTCTGTGGGATCATCTTTCTTTAGAATGGGTACTGTGATAGTTGAAGATGTGTCAACTTGGCTGGACTTCACTTGTGAGTGGTGGTTCCCATGATGGATCACATGACTGCATCCTAAGCGGCCGGTCAGTCTAGGGGGAGTTTCCCCAGGGGTGTGGCCTACCTGTAA